TTCGGTATGTAATCGTCCCTTCATTTTGTTGGCTCAATTGGAATAGTCTTGCTGCTCTACTCATTGGTTGGACTTATTGGTAGTTTGCTCTCTTTGTTGGAGAAAGGATATGTTATCTTGGTGGTGATGTTTGTAGTGGTGGTGTGGGTGATAGTTTTTTGTACAACAATGTTGTGTGTTGTTGGTGGTGATGTGCCATGGTGGTGTGTGTTGATATTGGGGTGGTGCTTTTGGTGGGGGTGGTGCTGTTGGTGGGGGTGGTGGTTTTCGTGGTACTACTAGTTGTACTCTTTGTGATGTGTGTAGATGTTGGGGGTGATTCTTCAGTGTCATGGTGGTGTTGTTGGTGGTGTGGGTGGTTTTTTTAGTGCCATGGCGGTGGTGCTTTTGGTGGTGTGTGTAGATATTGGGGGTGGTTCTTCTTTAGTGTTATGGTGGTGTTGCTCTTGGTGGTGTGTGTAAATGTTGAGCGTGGTTCTTCAATGTTAATTTGGTGGTGGTGTTGGTGGTATGTAGCGATGCTGGGGATGGTGTTGGTATTCGTGGTTTGTTTTGATGTTTCCTTATAATTGGTTCTTTGAATCATGATATTTTAATGGCATTTTGTTTTTTCTCTACTATACATTTATGTTGCTATGTTATTTTTCATGCTAGTATTGTCATGGTAACGATAAAATAAATTGATTCATCTGCAATGCGGGATAAAAGTGTCAAAATAATATTTTGTGATCTCTGTCTTAAAGAGGTGGAGTTAGGAAATAAACCAACAACCTAGCTTAATAAGGAGGATTGATATAATATAATAAAGAAGTTTAGGGAGCGTACAGAAAGATAATATGATAAAATGTAATTGAAAAATAAGTGAGATCAGTTAAAGAATGACTAAAAAATATGTAAAGAGCCGAAACGTGGATCCACAGACTTGTGTTGAGACCCAATAAAGTGAACCATTAATGCTTTGGAAGAATGGTGGGTCAAGAGGTTAGAGGTGAGAATTTATGAAACTTGAAGTCCCTTACCAATTATTTATTTCTTCAATTACATTAACATATGAATGATCTATTAATTTGTAGGTCGTTTCAAATGTTAAAAAGTTTAAGTTCAGTAGTATTGACCCCAAGCTTGAAGAAAAATTGAATCGTATGTTTGCTGGAGTCGTTGCCGCGGGTGATCATGCATGGACCACTAGAAAGAGGGTTTGTTGGCATAACTAAGCATGTGGATGCTGAGCCAACTTCTGGTTCCAAGGAAGCCCCCAAACCTAACATCAATGAAGCTGAATCTACTAGTCGATCTAAGCACCCTAGGGTTGATAAAAAGAAAAAAATGGGTGTTTTTATTAGAAGCCAAATTTCACAGTTAGTTGCTTCATGCACCAAAGACTCTAACACATCACAAACAACTTCTATTCAACAAGTAATTCAAATTCTAGAAGCAACTTTATAAATATACGAGGACACGTCGTTGTATTTATTCTTTATGAAGTTGCTTAAAGACCCGACACAGAGTTTTTCATGACTATGAACCCTGACCATAAGGTCAATTATTTGCGTTATTTTCATAACAACAAGGACACTTGAATTTCATATTTTCTAATTAAGCAACTTATATTTATTTTTCATTGAGACAATATCTATGCTACTTTAAATATGCTTTGGTTTTCTATCTTGAACAATATTATTCTCTTTACTTTTGAGAAAAGTTAGATCATACAATTTGTTATTTTCTTTTTGGGGTTTATTTATGATTGTTGTTTGCTCAAGACAACACAAAATATCATGGTTGTATGTGACTTTAACATATATTTCACTTTTGTTATGGCTGTTTGGGAAGATAGTGTACATGATAGTCACATATTTAAATCGGCCACAAGAACTCAAAAGTACAACTTTCCTCACTCACCCCCAGGTTTGCTTGAGTTTAAACTAGTCAGAAAGTGTTTTCACTGTAATATTAATTATTATATTTATGTCAGATAAATATTACTTGATCAATGTTGGATACCCCATACAAAGATGGTTTCTAAAGCCATTTCCAGTTGTTAAATACTACATTCCTGATTTTGAAAGAGCTATCAATATTGCTCGGGGTACGAAAGAGGTGTTTAACGAGACACTCATTTTTACGTGGTGTCATTAAAAAATTATTTGGAGTTTGGAAGTAAATTGTGAGATATGTCGACATATCTATTTTCCAAGTAAATGCAAATTGTGGTTGTCACAATGACTCTACAGAACTATATTTGAAGGCATCTTTCACGCGGTGACATTGACTTCAATAGGGCCAATGGAGATCATTCACATGATTCTGTTGAAGCGTATAAATATCGCCTAGAGCAATCTTTATCATAGGTTGAAAGTGATTTATCAGAGACTTGCACCCAAGATGTGGAAGGTGTGGGGGAGATGACAGGGTTGAGAGAGCGAATTACATATGCTATCATTGACAGTTGAATGAAGTGATTGTTTTTGTGTGTTACTTTATTTGTAATGTGTTGTGCAAATGTTTATTTTTTATTATATTGTTGATTTATGCAATGATGAACATTTTTAATCTCAATATTATTTACAGTTCTTTTGCATGTATTTCTTTCTATTGGATGATCTGTGAGGCAACCGTGGGTGTAATATGTATTGTAAATTTTTATTGCATGTTTTATTTTTTGTTTTGGATGTCTATGATGAGATATTTGATATTTTGGGTTCTTCTAGATGACATATATATTGATATTGGTTCTTGACACTTGTAATATTAGGATGAAGACAATGGAGTTTCTTTCCTTTTTCAGTTTATGGCTTTTGAGGTTCTTCTAGATGTTTTTTTTTGTGGTATGTATATGTGAAAAATGTGCGAGTTAGGTATTACTTGGTTTAAAGACAATCAAATCTTTTTTTTTAATAATGTCTACTGTCTTCTTGTAATGACAGATTTGTTGGTTTATACTCTGTTCTATGAGACCTCACAGTACTTCTAATATTCTTTATTACTAATGTTGCATGTAAGTGTTTGTGCTTTGTGGTTTTAAACCTTAAGAAAATATGAGCTCGAAGACTTCCGAAACTTCTAGAGCATTGTACTACTACTGTGGACTACAATATTTCTTGCTTGCTTCGCGACAACCACATAGCTATGAACGATAGCTTTACAAGTGTATAAGGAAAAGAACAGAGAATTGTGACGTCTTTAGGTTGGCGGATCAGTTTGAGGATTCCATCGTCGATAGTGATCAAGCGTGGAAAGTTTTATTGTAGGACGAATTATCTCGTAACATGAACCAACAGCATTTTAAAACACTATTATCATATTATTAATTGTTATTTTAATAGTTTTTTTTTTAATTCTGATTGTCGTGTTACTCTCTGTTTTGTGAGGTGTCTGTTTTCATTTTGCAACATTCAAACTGGACATTTTCTTTCAATTTTGGAATGTGCTAGCAAGATTAGTTCTGTTATAAATAACACTATAATACATGGACAAAAATTTCATTTGTTCAGAAATAGCTGCAACACTATATATCAAAACTGCAACTTCATGTCACAGCTGCTGTGCAACAATTTTTTAATAAGTTGCAGCTGCCCCAAATAGACCCTAAGAGAGAGTGGTTGGTGGTAGAGGGGAGCATGTCAGGGAGTAGGCAGAACAGGGAAGTGATGTGATCGGCGACAACTTGCATGTCAACTGTAGGCGAAGCGAAGATGTGCTTTGGGAATGGAGAAAATATTGCGTCTAGACTTTCACACATTAGGACGACCAACCACGGAGTGTCGCGTCACTACAAATATAACGTATGATGATGTGACACTGCGATTGGTCGTCCGGATGTGTGGCAGACACCCAATATTTTCTCTTAGGAATGGGGATGCGAAGAAGGAAGGGGTATTCTTTGTGTTTACAATATGATTTTTTTTCTTTGTTTATTCAAATTCATGCGGGTTGTAATGGGCGGGGCCCCGATGTGGCGCTAACACGGGTGAATATTACTTGTGGAATCCGTACATGCAGATTGGTAGTATTTGATGATATTTGGTAGTATTGTGGTGGTATTTGATCACAATAAGACCACAATATCACCAAATCCACACTGATCTCGTCCGCATGTAATATTTTTTTCTGCTCACACGGCATGAAAAAAAAAACAGTTGGTCGGCTCGACTGCTTGGCAGGGAAGGTAGGATAGGATGTAATTTATAATATATGTTATCATTAGTCAATTTTTCTTACACTTGAACGGGACTCATATATGATGGGTCTTATTTCAAGATAAAGATGTTCTGAATGCACTCTTGAAATCAAATTTTTGATCAGATGTTGATTGAGTAATTTTGGCATACGTCAAGATAACTAAGATTCAAATAGTAATTATCATGCGGAAATTCGTTATTTTTGTCTTATGTTCTCTTTTCGATCTTGAAAGAACCCTCAAACAATTTGGACTCTTTGAATGTGCTCGCTATTCATTTTATGAATGGTTGTCATTTGGACAAGCTCAATGGTTTTTGAAGTGAATTAGCATTGATCTGTCGATCGGCACGCTCATTATTCAATGCTTTCTTCAAGATTGATCTAGTCATTTTGTGAGATAGATATGCATATCAACAATACTTACAAATCATAATTAAATCATTATTTTCCTAGCAATAGATCTTTGAATGGTGAGACATATACAATTCATCTGCTATTTGTTTCTTAGGGTAATTCAAGCTGGTTACACCAACTGCAATAATATGCTAAATTCTAAGTAAAATTATTAAAGCTTAGCAAGACCTTGATAATATTATAGGATTGGAGAACCTTATAAAATCTAGTAATAATTGGGTGTTTGCATGGTGCTCTGTATTTCTTATAATTTTTAAAATTATGAAGACTTCTTGAATAAAAGTGAAATTATTATAAATGGTTCAAATTAAATTGAGAATTACACAAGCTTCCAATGAAATTAATAAGCACAACCTCAGGTTTTTTAAGAAGTAAATGGCTAAATAAAGTTGAGACGTGCTTACCTTGGAAAAGAATTACCCTTAACAACCTTTTGTCCATATTTCCTCCAATGATATCCATCGTCGCTTGGATGATTGCAATTTATTGAAGCCACAACTTTAGGTATTGATGTTTTTTGTGGCTTCATAGAATATTCTTTTGTATTATCATCATGTTTCCTACAAGAATGATAAATTCATCAATACAAATCTAAAAAAATAATATGAGCGTCGAACCTCAAACATTTAATTACTTATCAATGTTTAATTCTAAGTGTTATTTAATAAGTAAGGTTAGATGTTATAATATTTTATTTATATAGTACAAATAATGTTGAAGCCTACTAGATTGTTCACCTTAATGATAATCTCATTTATATTTCTTTTCAGTCCTCTCATGAATTTACCTTTAGAATCACTTTTGGCATCGTTTGTTACAATAGGTTGATTGAAAACAAAATTGCATTTAATCTATAAAGAAAGACAGGTTTAGAAAAAAAAATTCTAAGCATGCTAAAATTGACAAATTAATATTTCTTATAAGCCTTTTACCAATTTAAACTCACTTACCCTGTGAGTATCAAAACTTTAACAAATTTGATACTTTTATCGTTATACTAAAGAACCATTTAAGGGAGAATTATGAGAAAGGCTTACGCCATCTTAGAAATTATATAGAGGATTTCCATGATATGAGTTCTTGAAAATAGAGAATTAAATTTGGATGAGCCTCAAGATTTCAATTTTTGTGAAAGAAAATAGAAAGTCATAAGAAAAAATAGAGGAGGGAGTCTTAGAAATAAAGGGAATCAAGTAATTTTATAAATAAAAATAATACTAGCACTAAACTTCCTATTTTTGGTGCTAAAAAAATAAATTAAATTTAATTAAAATTTAATCTTGACAAGCCCTGAGATTTTATTATTTAATATTAAAAGGAAATAATTAATTTTTAAAATAATAGATTTAAGTTAAAAAATAAATAAACAAGAAGTATTTAACTAACTTATTCTTGATGCATGCATTCTAGTTCATAATTCTCTTGGCTAACATAACTCTGCCCTAAAGCATCATGCTTTAGCATTTTAATGAAACTCTCATTTTCATAATAAAGAATGTTGTGGAACTATTTCTTGAATATATCTTATATTATCACTTTATGTAATCTAAATGTTATATGCAGAGTTAAATGACTCAAACCTAAACCTTTCTATGAATTCTACAACTTTTGAGATGAATATTATGGATGGGGATCATATAGAATATTTGAAGATTTGTTGAGGAAATCATAGGTAGATAATTATGATGTAAGACGAACCAGAATAGTAACTTAATATACGTGTGTAGTGACCAAATAATTTAATTTGCTAGTGTTATTGATATGTACATTAAGTTTTTAGTGAATTCAATTTTACATGTATGCATGTTTGTTTATTTTGATGCTTCTGTATGCAAGCCATAATGGGATTCCACAATTTTTTAAAATCAAAATGATCGTATATATGATTTTGGATGTGCGAACAATCTAATGAACTACAATATAATATGATTAAATATGATATAAATGATTTGAATTTGCTGAGTAATCGACTTATATTGTGCAAAAAAATTTGTCGTTATATTTCACACTAAATAAATATTTTAATTTTTATTCTAAGCTATATATTCAAACAAAATTGATTGCTTATTTGAAGTTACTTGTGAATATTCTCTCATCTTTTCTCCATTAACCTTATGAATTTACTTTCATTCTATGGATATTATGGATCACTATTCATGGTGTTAGGAGAGTTAGAGAGTAGCTGAACAAAGGGCGAGATAAGTGGCTATAACAGACTATCTAAGAAAAAGATTTTCTTAAAAAAGAACTGTCATGAGATAAGACATTGTTTCCCTATCTTAAAATTTAATGTTCTTTATTCCTAAAAAAATTTGACATGGTTTAAATGAGTTGATCTGTAGTTTGTTGATTTGATAGTGAATGTAAAATATTTTAGTTCTTCAAAATTCATATGCATTTTCACTAGATTTTGATGAAATATATATATATATATATATATTATTTTGTCCAATTTTTTGTGAAAATTCCTATCAAATTGGTCTTATATCGTTTCGTTGCGCTGCTATCTTTGTCATGTGATAAGTTGAGTAGGATATTGATGTGGATACTATTGCTCAGTCTCTATGATTTACCCGGGTGATATATAAGATAACTAGAATCACATGTTTCAATGGAGAAAAATAGAACATTTCTTCTACACATGCTTCAACATGTTTTATGATGATCTTCTTACATTCCGATGCATATTACATGACTATGTGTGACCATTTGTGCTTCCCCATATGTTGAGTCTATGAGTCCTATGTTCTTATTATATAATTATTGTTTCCTTTTTTTCACATACTTTACTAGTATAGATAACGTACTAGATATTTTTACTTACTATGTAATAAATGAATATAAGTAATAATACTAATAATAATAATAATAAATCAAAATTATTTCATCTAATTGACGTATTTGACGAGCGGTTACACTAATGACGAGACGGAAGGGGAGAGGAAAGCAAATATTGCATGTAATATTGAGTAGCAGACCAGGATGAGAGAGAAGTGCAACGCATGCAGCTCATGCAAAAGAGAAGACAAGAATGAACAACGTGGGAGCATTAAACAAAGAACACGAATTGTGTGACATCATCTGTAGGAGAGAACTCGCACGCGGAAGTGCGGGCTAGGAATCAACGACAACAATGATGTGTGTAAGCTGAGTGGCAGATGACACGTGCATCGAAGCTAACACACATCATTGTTGCACGTGTGAGGGAAGGAAGCGTTGTCTGAACAAACCAAAATATTTAAGGGATGGTCAATTTTGCTAGAAGAATAAAGAGAAGAATTACGATAAATTCTGATTTTGTGTTTTATTTATTTTGATCAAAATACTTAAAATTTAGACTTGTTCTAATTTTAAGATATAGGGGTTTGATTGGAAGGATTGGAAAGTTGACAAGATTACGCAAGAAAAGGGTCTATTTAATTTTTTCTTAATTCTATACTATATGGCACTAGATTATAATTGGATGAACAAAATAAAAAGATAAGAAAAGTAGAATATTTTATTAAAGAAAAATTTAAGTTAGAAATTTGATCAAGTAGAGTAAAGAATTAAATTAATTTTATTATTTTTTTAAAACTCAAACCTTCATTATGTTAAAATGAAGACTGTAAGAAAACATTAGGTGAATATATCATGAAAGTTTTTTTTGAAATTTATAATAATATTAAGTAGGAAATATAAATATATGTTTTACATATATACGTGCTAAGCTATAGAGGATGACAATTAAAGCTTAATTGGCATTACTATTTTGAACTTAAGGCGAGTAATTATTTTTCTATATATACTAAATTCTTTTATTTAAAATGTACTTTTATTTTTAAAATGAATGTTTGATACTAACAAATGTTATATATACTACAATCACACTTTTAATTTATAAAATATTTAATGATTAAAAGAAGTTACATGAAAATTAAATGAAATAATTATTTAACTTAATAATGAATGATTGTACCCATGAAAAAAAAAAACAAATGGAAAATGACTGAAAAACAAAATGAAAAATGTTGTGCCTTACTTGACACGAGTTTTTAAATGATGCTTTTGATATGACTATCCGAATGAAATGCAAATGAAAATATTTAAAAAACTTTAATTAAGAAATACAAATGTTTAAAAGCTTTAACAAACTAAAATAATAATGTTAGTCATCATATTCTTTGAGCCATGTTAGAAAATTTGCATTTAAATTTAGTGTACAATAGAATTACAAAAATTGTTGTAAAACTTAACTTAAAATTTAACTATTTATTTTAAGAAAAGTTCAATTACATTAAAATGACTGATTGAGAGAGTATGTTTATAGAAGAATGTGATAGATGTTAATAAATATCATGAAATCATTTTATCTTGTGTTAAGTTTTTTTTATTGAAATTATTGTTGTCAGAGTTTGATTTGAATGATATATTATATATTTTGTGGTTTAATGGCTCTTTAGTGTTTGGTTGATTGTTTTTATTATTGTGATTGTTAGACCAATATGACACTACCATCCAACTATTCATTTCTACATAACTTATAATAATATATCTGGCTTCCTCGATATCATCATACTTGTATAGATTTTTTTTTTCTACATAATATGTAGCATGATCATCCATATATAAGCTATAAGCATATGTTACATGGTACTTCTAAGCTTGCCATGTTTTTACATGTTATTCTACATAATCAAGGTCGCAATCATCACAGTGTAATTAGGTGTGGATGTTACATTTGATACTTATTATAGTGGTGTGTTACAACATGGTGACTAGCATGATGATCTGTGAGTGGAATGACATAGTTTAATGAAATATACATATGGATGTTACATTTGAATACATTTGTGACTTTATTTATAGACTTTCATTATGAGTTATGACATATAATTTAGCATGAATATTTTTCTTTATTGGATGATATAAATGAAGAGAGTTACAATTATGAATAATATTTATCATATGTATATTGCTCATGTAATTGTTACAACATTGTATATAGTAAATGTCATTTGTCGTATGAAATGAATGCTTTTAGCTTTGAAAAAAGAATGATATGCATGTTAATGGAAGATCAACAATTGAAGGAATAGTTGATGGAATTATCTATGTAAGATAAAACAGGTGGTGCTTTGATGGTATATATGGGAAAATTGAGTATTATGCACCAATTGTACCGATTGTGTACAACGAATGAGGCTTTATTAATTAAGTACCATAATGGCTTGATAGCTAGTTAACAAGCACAAGGATGACAAGTGTAACTTGACTTGGGATGGAATTGCTATGTTGATGATAAAAAAAATGAAATTTTAAGTGGTACATTCGGCTATTTTTATTTTTTTCCTTGTATTTTGATGATGTTAATACATAATAAAATGTATATAACTATTTTGAGCGGTATGATGCATTCTAGTCTAAAAAGTATAATTTATATCCATGAATCTATATTTTTTTTCCATGTGAATGCGAGAATCTTTTGAGCTAAGTTCACACTCACATGCATTGCATATGCTAGGCCTTAAATTTAAGACCTTTCGTTTAGCAACATAAAGAAAAAAAAAAGAAAATTAGACAATAAATAGAGAATACTGGTAGGAACATTTCACCTGGTACCAGAGAAGATAGAGTAACAAAGGTGGTAAGCCATCAATTGCCTTGTGAATGTGTATTTTTGTGTCTGAACATGTATATATTTACCAGTGTTTGTGTAAAATGGCAGGAAATGTTGATTTCCATGAACAACAATAAGCATCATGATTCATTTGATATAATATTTGCCTCAACTTAACATGAGTATGATTCCACACAGATTTTTCAATGATAGATATGTTCATGACAAAAGATGGATCTCTTCACTAAGCTCTTGAGTTAGTGAGTATGATCTCAAATAAGATCTTGTCATAGTACTTAGCAATTGATGTTGAACTTGTTTAAAGCATCTAATGTTGCGGAAATGATTACTCTAGAACAGGTTTATAATTGGATTTATTTGCATGTTCAAAAGCAGAGTATGATTCAACATTATGATTTGAAAGTATTGACCAAACTTAAGCATGTGATTATTGGGCATGACTCTATAGTTTAGTGATTATTACATGCATGATACAAAAGCATGACATGAATACTTACATGATTTATGTGCATATTTTCTGCTTAATGGTATTGAATTCTTTAGCTCATTTTGTGCAACTTATTGGGCTTTATGCTTACCCTTTTATATTACATCCATTATTGGTCCAAAGGCAAGAAGCTGTTGACCGGAGATCATGCTCTAAGGTTTAAGCGAATGAACTTAGGTAAAAAAAATAAAAAATTGGTAGTCATACTTCAGAGTTATATTACATAGTGGAGCATGCATGGAGGTGCTACTAATGGTTTTTTATGTGTAATATGATTTAAGTTTAAAAGTTAATCTCTTAGATAAGTTTGAAGATGTATAATACCTTTTCTTAAACCAATATAAATTTGATGTAAATAGCTTTGGTGGATAATAAATTACTAGCTCAAATGTTTTACATAAAGTCTATTGATTTATATACTTTATAATCTTATAAATGCTAGCATGATTATACTATCCACTGTAGCATTTTAATGATTTAGTTTAGCGACTCTATGTTGTTTTGTACATGTGTGAAATAGTAAAAGGGTCATAGTCTAACTGATTCATGTTCTTGATGGGAGCTAAGAAAAATATGAATCTATTGGTATTGAATGAATGGATCAAAGTTCAATGTATGTGTCGCAACAAAAATTACTGTGATTTGTTATTTTGTGGGGGTTGTATTTGGCATATTGGTAGAGATAAGTTTTTTATGTGCTGGTTTCTCCAAATAAAATAAAATAATGTTACATCTCGAGTAGACTCATGATTTATGATTCTTATGAGGAAAAGAGAGCAAAAGAAGAGAAAGAATTAAGAGAGAGAGGGAAAGAAAAACAAAGGAAGAATGATGAAGATAGAGAAAAGACGGAGGGAGAGGTTTGGGGAATTAAGGAAGGAAAGTTGATTTAATTTTGAATTTTAGTTTAAAGTCAATAAACAAATTATAAACATTCAAATCACTATTTATAGAAATAGGTTTACATGATAAAATCAAACAAATGAAACATTTTATCTAAATAAACCTTAAAATCCCACCATCTAATTTAAATTAAATAAAATATGATCCTTAAATTATACAATGAAAATTAAAACAGAAATAGTAAAAAAATCAAAATAAATTCTAAAATAATTAAATTGTCTAAGTAGTCCAAGATGCTATTGATATTTACTTATGCTACAGCTCTACAATTGTCATTGCAATCTTTTATGATCATTCATACGAGAAACATGAAAATTACCCCAAAATGTTAAATCTCTTTTTAAAAAACAATGTAATATTTTATCAAAAAAAAAAAAAATACAAATACAATAATCACTATATGTTTAGTTTATCCAAGTAACATTATCGGATTATGACTGTAAACAAAAACTTTTAGGCCCTGTTTGGATTAAGGAATTGACGGGAATGCAAATGAAATTATTTCATAATTTCATATGAAGCATTTGGTTCAAATGCAGTCAAAAGGAATTTGAATTTACCCTGGAAAATTTAGCAATTGCTATTTTTCTACAAAATTATGGGCCCATTATTGTCAATGAGCTCACATCATAAGAAATAAGAACTTAACTTATCCTCAATCAAACAACTTAAATAATTTTATCAGATTAGTTAGCATCATCATGTGTGCATCTATTACCTTTTCAATATATAATTTGAAATATATGTATATGCAAATAATCAAACATAAAAATAGTTTTATTTTATCATTAAATTAATTTATTTCAAGAATCCCTATTTATGAACATGCATTCTTTCAACAACATAATAAAACAATTAGTAAAATAATTACCTTTCAGGACTCTTCTTTTCAAAACCATCCATGGCAGCAAATTCAGAATCTTCTTCCCCTCTACAATCTGCACCAAAACCAGGAGAAACAGTAGGATAAACCAGATATGAATCATCAGAGTACATTGTCTTCCATGTAATGCTATCATCTAAGATGCCTTCAAGACCACAACTTTCTGTCTTATTTTCAAAAAAGTTATCTTCAAGATGAGAATCATTAACCAATAGATCACTCTTGAAATTTCTTCCATTTCCATCAATTACAGCTTCTTGTTCTCTTAATCCTAAAGCTGAAGACTGCTTGATTTTTTGAGGCTTGGGATGATTATGTTCTCCCCTATAGACAATTTCAGATATTTCTCCATCTTTTGATTTCTCAACCATCTTCTTCACAGAACAACATGGATGTGTGCATCTATAGTAAGCTCGTGGATATCCGATTCCTTTTACATGCTTCTGACCATATTTCCTCCAATTATATCCGTCTGAAGAATTTTGATCTCCATTGTTTGTTGTTTGTTGAGATTTCACTTTAGTTTTCTTGCTATCATAAGCACAAAATGGTGTCAGACTCTGATGAAGGTTCATGATTGGCTGGCCGCAGCTTACTTGATGTGCTTGCGGACTTTGGAAGTGTGCATCCTGTAATGTATATTTATGCTCTTCATAGTCCTCCTGATAAGAAAATAAAATATCATCATTAGAGTTCTTTGCACAATTTTAGGTTTGCTTAATCATCATTTTTGTAAATTCCTTTTTTTTTTGAAAATTATTTTTTTTTTTGGAGGTTTTCAACTAATTTGTGGCTTGCTTTATTAATCATTACTTTGATTTCTTGCTATTCATTTTCTTGCTTCTACGTCAGTTTTATCTAAGTATGATTTACATTCATACCCTGTAATTCCTATGCATTGACATGTCTAACACCTAAACTTCAGTTTTTACATACATGTCATCTTATTTATGCATGAAAATGTGTATCTCCCTTTTATAAGTTAAAATAGTGGTATTTTTTATGTGATATGGAATATTTGGGTGGTATAAGTGTAAAAAGTAAAGTTATGTGAGTAGACATGTAATTATATTGAAATTGGGTGGTGAATTTACATACACATCGCTCAATTGTTATGAATTTATATATCAAACACCTGAATTTTGCTTTTTATATTTATATCTTCCAAGTCTTTCATATTGTCAATCAGGAAGGACGGAAATCAAGCAGCTTTCTATAATTAGAAGCTTCCTTATTTCCAATATATTTATTCTGATTTATTTCTCTTTTAGCTGAATATTTGATTAGGAATATGTATTATTAAGTTACCTAAAATAGATTATGCACTTTATTTTGTACCAAAAATAGATTATAAGATTTTTTTTAAATGGAATGAAAGCAAAGGGAAAAGGAAATCGAGCCTATTCAGAATTCAACCTATTTGCTCAAAATATTGACATGGTATCAAAGCTCAATACTTTTATCAGCTTCTTGTTGATAAAAGTATTGAGCTTTGACATGGAACCAAAATATTGACATGGTTCCGACAATGTTATCAGCTTCTTGTTGGCAAATTGATGTTTCTTGATCAGTCAACATCAATTTGAGGGGGGACATCAATCAGGAAGGACGGAAATCAAACAGCTTTCTATAATTAGAAGCTTCCTTATTTCCAATATATTTATTCTGATTTATTTCTCTTTTAGCTGAATATTTGATTAAGAATATGTATTATTAAGTTACCTAAAATAGATTATGCACTTTATTTTCTACCAAAAATAGATTATAAGATTGTTATTTAATGGAATGAAAGCAAAGGGAAAAGGAAATCGAGCTTATTCAGAATTCAACCTATTTGCTCAAAATATTGACGCACATCACATAAAAAAATACCACCATTTTAACTTTTAAAAAGTGAAATACACCTTCTCATGCATAGGCAAGGTGGTATGTGCGTCCAAATTGAAGTTTAGGCATTAGATATGTAAATACGTGAGAATTGAGTGGTATGCCTACAAATCTTTTTTAGAAGTAATGAATTTCTAGCTTTTTCTAAATATCTGATTTTCTATTGACGCTACTCTGCTACCACTCTCTTTGAACCTTTTCCTTATCTTCCTAACTTGGCCAAATGCCGCACAGCCTCTTAAAATTCTCATTTTTACTCTATCATTCATAAAATTCAAAGTTCATTTGTATAAAATGTTCAGAATATAAGCTTACATGATTATAAACAAAGCATGAACTAACAAATTTTTTCAGCAGCGCCGAGCTTGGAAAAGGCTGAGCAATAGGTCTATACAAGACGATACTTTCAGATTTTTCATTCCCAATTCCAACTGATTCTTCATCCAATGTTAATGAAGCTGCTTGTACTGATACATCACACTGAAAGTTTTTGAGGTTTATCAATACATTTCAAAACAGCAAATTTCCAAAAAATTATTATACATTTTCTGCAAAAGAAGAACCATTAACTTACTCTGAAAGCTATGTCTGAAGTATGATTAGCTGAAGGTTTCAATCTAACAGCCTTTGGTTTGATGGGAACTGCAGTTTCAGAAATTATAATAGGAGGAGCATTGCTGGAACTTGCAAGTTGCTCGGTTGATTTCCTTAAACTGGCTCTGTAAGTGTTATTTTTATTCATGATTTCTTTGTTTCAGCAAATATAATTATTTCCTGTGAAGTTGTGACTGAGAAGATCGCATTAGCATCAAGTTAACAATCGATAGCTCCTTCTGCAAATCAATAGGTCTGAGTATTTAGTTCTAGCAAAATTTGGTCACACTCATTATGTATTTTACAGTAAAAAACTAAGGGATCTTGCTATGTACTTTTATGTCCATATAGCTTGATATATAACACTCGAATTCCAACGTAAATCTATAAATATGGGGTTGCAAGAAGGAAAAATTATTGTGTCTGGACACCCAATCACGGGAGATCATGAGAGAGCAAGTTTAGATGGCATGGTCTCCTGTGATTGGGTATCCGGATATCTGTGATTGATAGTCTGGATATGCGGTTATCCGCACCTAATATTATCTCCATATTATGAGCCCACTTGACACTTATTTTAATGACTCCCATGAATTCTCTCAATTTAGATTCCCACTTTGCTAGTACAAAACATGTAGGATCCAACTTGAGCTGCTTTTGATGAAGTATTCTCACAAAGGATAAAATTTAAGAAATAGAAATATTCACATGTTACAAAGCGAAATATATAATAATTATTGGGGACAACTTTGCTGGCATATGGGGGTGTCAAAAATTGATCCGACACGCCGACACAACTCGAACTCAACTCGAAAAATCCCGGTTATAGTTGACCCAAATATTTTTCGAGTCAGGTTCAGGTCTGACAATTTGACATGTAAAAAATTTCGGGTCGAGTTTGGGCTGAACCTGAAAACCCGATTATTACCCGAATAAACACGAAAAAATTCGATGTACTCTAACTCTTATACGATTGCTTGTCATATATAATCAGAGAATTTTTTTAATTTGCCTATTATTTCTTGTTAAATGTTAAAAGCATAATTTTTAATAAAAAAATTGAGCTGGCAAGTTAAATGAGTCAGGTTCAGGTTAATCGTGTCTAGGTCGAGTCAGGTTCTAGTTGAGTTTTTTGACCCATTTATTCTTTGGGTCGACTCATTTTCAGGTAGGACCTAAATCCGATCCATTGACCTAAATTGACTGACAAACGAAGCAAACAATCATTCAGTTCTATCTTTTTTTTGGATGATTTACATACATGCCACTTAGTTCTTATGTATTTACATATCCAACTCCTAAACTTTAATATTTGCATATATGACATCTTATGCATGAAAAAGAGTATATTTCACTTTTTAAAATTAAAATAGCAGTATTTCTTATATGAGATGAAAGATTTTAGTGGTATAAATGTAACAAAAGTGTAGTCTAGGTGTTAGATTTGTAAATATATATAGAAATTGGGTGTTATGTATGCAAATTGTCCTCTTTTTTCTCTCTCAAAAGAGCTTAGAAGCTTCAATTTATGAGTCAGTTGAACTGCTTATTCTTACAATTACTTGTGAAGCATTGGCAAAATGTTGTGAGGAGAGATTTTAGGTGAGCTTTTACAGTAAAATTTTCTTGAGCAAACAACATGCCACTCAATATTACTTGAGATAGGCACATGAATTTCACGAACATATAATGGCAATATATAGCAAAAATAGTGACAGAACATAATAAATACGCGCCACATGATCATAAAAATCTCTCTTATTTGAAAAAATAACACTCTGATCTTGGAGAGTTGTAACAGCAAGATTTGCTAGAAAAAAATTAAAATATCAGTGTAAAAGTGTATAAACTGAGAGTGTATTTGTGAGAGCTGCAGCTGTTTGAAGAAGCAGCTGTGCATCGATCCTGTAAAAGAAGCCGTAGTGACTATTAAAAAAATTATTTTTTTTTGAAAAAGTCCGACCTTTGGCAACCAAGTCAAATAACAAAACACAACTTTCAGCTACAACTTTCTAAAAAAACAAGCAAAACGTAATATTGTCAAACATAATAAGTTATGATGCAGCACTGCACTGCCGCCCCTAACTCACCCTGTGCTTTGACTGAAGATTTCTTTAATGAAATAAAAGTGTAAATTCACAACATTTATGAAGATCCACTCAAAAAATGGAAACTATAGTGTTGGAGAAATCATAAGAAAAGAATGAGGGCGCCCTTGAGAAGAAGAGACGATGAGAGAAATGGTTGGCAGAGGAAACAGACAGTGTGATGAAGGGAATTGCGAAGGGGATTTGAATCGAATTTACCTCATTTTCTTAGAGAATGGAGACGAATGTGTAGCGTTAGATTCTCTCTCTTCTTCTCCTTCCCCCCCCTGAGAAGTAGCACTTAAAATAGTGGAGGGGTGATAAGGAGATAGAGATAGAGATAGATTTGCAGCAGAGCGTCTGGCAGTTATAAGGAGACTGCACTGGCTAATTACACATTCACGACTGTATTACACATAAATTACTGCAATATATATATATATATATATATATATTGACTTAATAGCCTGTAATGGTGCTTTAAAAGTCCTGGTAAATTTGAAAAAAAATCCTTATATGTTTGGGATTATTTTTGTTTTTTTTTATTTTAATTTTACTTTTGTTTTTTAAAAAACATTTATTTTATGCATTTGTGAGAGTTTTTATATTTTACTTTTAAAAATATTAAAAATAACTTTTAGGTGTTTTAAGTGTTTTAAAAATAACAAATATCATCGGACATGTTTTATTTCAAATCAAAATATTAATAAAATTTAAAAAAAAAAAAAAAAAACTATAAACAAATAGGGAATATACATACATACCATACAATTATCATGTATCTATGAATCTTAACACTCAAATTTTGTTATTTGCATATCTAATACTTAAATGTCATAATCATATCAAAGCGCATATGCATGAAAAAAGTGCATTTCACTTCAAAAGAAGTTAATATTGGTGGTAGTTTTTAATGTGAGCTAAAATTTAAGTTTTATAGAAGTATTTGTTAGAGTTTAGATATTAGATATGTAACTATATAAGAATTGTGCGGTATGCACGTCAATCCCTCAAAACAAAAGTGATTTCCAATGACCCCTTATGAAAAACATACACTATCTTCTTAGGGTTTATTTGAAGCAGCTGCAGCTTATTAAAAAATAGTTAAGAAGTTGCTGAATAATAATATGATGCTCAAAAAACTGCGGTAGCCATTGCAATTTTTTTTTTAAAGTCAGACCGCGGCTAGAAAACTGCTACCGCACCTAATCAGAAATGGTAGAAAAATGCAAATTTCAGCGGCAGCTTTTTGAAAAAGCTGTCAAAATGCAATTTACCTAAACAGACAAAACTGTGATGTCGTGCCGCACCATCATCTCACCGCCGCCGCAAACGTATCTTCTCCAATGGATTCATTTTATCTCACTTATTGGCAATGAGTTGTTACTTTTTATATTATTTTAGCAAGTTTTTAGCCAAAAAAAAAAAAACTTACTATTAATAATGTTGTATAATATCAACTACCTCTCACAACATTCAGATTAGCACTTAAACGATGATTCTCAGGACTTATCTAAGAAACATTATAAGCACAGGCAGCACATGGCTTAATTGTGCTCTTAAGACAAAGAAAGAGAGATGCAATACATAAAGTAACTAAGAAAAAATATAAGAGGCGAAATGATTCATGTCCCAATAATTAGAGGAGAATTATTTCCTTGAAATTATGGATTCAAATTATATTTTTAACTGAATGAAAGTAAAGAAGAAAATAATAAAGAAGTTGAGGAAGTACAAGACATTATAATTATAGCCTTTTTGAAAGTAAAGGAACCCATAAATAGGAGAAATCATTACAAGCGTGCTATGTGTATAAATATATATACAAATAGAAATATATATATGGAATATTTTAACTCCATGTATCATGATTACATTGTACAGTGTGTGCTCATTTTACTTGAAAGTATGCAGACATTGACAACCAAACCTCTGCACATTTGACAAAAACATACCTTTGCACATGACATGGGTTCCGTCGTCCCCGTTTTGCGGGTCATAAACCTTCAACCTCCCTTTCTCAATATGTTTTGATGCCCTCACTATATTACCATTCTACCCCTGATTTACCTCTCTCTCTCTCTCTCTCTCTCTCTCTCTCTCTCTCTCTCTCTCTATATATATATATATATATATACATGTACAAACAATACTTGAGATAAAATATAATGTACAAACAATAGTTGGGATAAAATATAATAAAATGCGTTTCCATCTCTCTTTATATTTTTCCCTTCACTGTTTTCTGTAAGGTACCAGAGAGGTGTTTGGAAACATCTCTTCCCTCCTCCAATGGTTTCATCTCCCTCCTCTTTATTCAAATTAATCAACAAACTGAAATTTGTTCGAATATTTTAGAACCTCACAATCACGACAAAAACCAACAAATCACGAGAAAACTCTAAGTAAGACCAATGAAAGTGAACATTAAAACAAAGAAACTCACTTACCCACTTGGAAAACTCTATCACTGTGATAGAAAATGACTCCCCCCCACCACCCAAATCACCATTGCTAGACCTGGATCCGCTTCCCAGCCGGAGAACCTCTTGGAAGATGAAGTAAACCACTCAAATTGACAAAATTCAATTTCCCCGAAAGAAAATATTAGGAGAGGGAGAGTGTGTGTGTGAGTGAGATCACTAGCCATGAAACAAGAATAGATGTTGCCTGCCTCTAAGATTTTTTTCTTTTTTTCTTTGTGACTGTTATTACCCCAAAATGACATTCAAATCCCACACAAAAGATACAAACAACAAAATCATAGAAAGCGATTCGAAAAGTTTACGATCTATCAAGATTAAGAGGGCAATGGAACTTAAAAAAAGAAGCATTGGGGTTAGGGCAAGAACATCTGAGATCTTGAATAGGGTCGTGGACATCTAATACTCAAAATGTATTATCTACATCCTGCCTTAAATGAGGTGATTCGTCGCTCAATGTCAACGCTTCATATTTCACCCTGATGTTGCCTTGCATGAAATTGGAAGCCTCAAGTAAAGAAAGTCTGAAAGGCTAGGCCGTTAATAGTGGAAGTGAATAGGCGAATAATGATGTATATATTATCTATGAGTTGATTGATAGATTTCAACTATTTGTTTTGTTTGATTCGAGATATATGGAAATTAAACCATTGCACAATATTCTAATAGTTGAAATTTTAAAATCGAAAATCAAATTCAATTTTTTAAACCAAACCAAATTAATCAAATCAGATCGGCTTGGTTTGGATTTTTGGTTTTAAACAAATAATGTGTAGCCTCACTCTAAGATGAACAACATTGCAATACAAGTTCCTATAAAATTTCTTATGTCTCACATTGAGATCATATCTACTATACCCCTCTCCACCAAAAAATTTTCAGCATGGAAAGCAAAAATTCTTAAATTGTTTAGTATTAATGGATTTGAATAATTCCTGGATAAAATCATATAACGTCCACCCAAATTTTTCATCATTGAATCTAACACACATGAGCTAAATCAAAACTACAAACTTTGGAAACTCATTGATTTGAACCTTATCATTGCTCGCTTCTATACCATCTCCAAATCTATTATACCCTATGTGTTGCATCTATATAATACTTTTGTAATCTAGCTTACCCTATAAAGACTTTTATAGTCATCCAATAGATCAAGATTTATTCAACTAAACTGACGATATCACTATAGCTACTAATACCATGTCTAAGTATCTCTCAGCTTTGAGAACTCTAGTTGATAATATTGCTATAGTAGGTTCATGACTAGACAATGAAGATATCATCTTATACATCTTCAATAACTTGAATTACACCTGCAAAGCTTTCAAAAATATCATCAAAACCACCTTAATTTGCTCAATCTAAATTACTTTTACTCTCTATTTCATAGTAAATAAATAAATATCTCCCCTGAAGTAGAACAACAACAAGATCCCATGACTATTGCTGTTAATAGAAGTTAAGCACCACCAATAGACTTCAGATCATTATCTTGTACCTAATACACAAATTACAACTCTCCAAACTCAACTAATAGTACAAATTGACCTAAAATCACCTATCAAATATGCTTGAAACTAGAGCATTATAATGCCAACTTTTGACATAGGGCCAACCTGCATTACAAACGACCACCTCCTATTTAACCCAATGCCTTCTTCAATGACGCCTCTACTTCTACCCAAGGCTAGGTGTTGTATTCTAGAGGATCCTTAAATTTCACAGCACTTCTAAACAACCTACAATATTCAACTAATTATATAGGAACGTAACAGGTTCTTGTATGCAATCATCAAGTAGCTTATAAAAGTCACTATAAATGACACCTCTCCTCACTTCTCAGAGTGCCCAAATAATTACATTGCCTTTAATTCAATCTTTCTATAAGCCAAAGATGGCCACTGTTGTATTTCCTTTAATACTTTTGGTTTTTGCATCCAAGATCAAGTCATCAAATAGAACTACTCAAAGGATCAATTAATTAGACTTTCTACTCAGTTTTAACATAACTATCCATCATTGTATTTCGAACTATAGTAGACTCCCCAACATGGCATGATCACCCGATCACCCTTACTTTAGAACCAATGTAGCCATCTCCAAACTTCATCCAAACATCATATGCCAGATACCACCATATTATGTAATGACTGTTACTCCAACAAAAGCCACAAATTAACGTTGATTACTAGCATTATGACTTATACACTTCAAATTTATCCACTTAGATGTTTGAGATCCTTTTCCCCTTCCAACACTCCATGGTTACAATATGTTTTCTTGTTTCTTGATTTGTATTCTCATTTTTATTGGGTTTATCCCATTTACAAAAATTTGAAACAATGAAACATCTAATTATTGTTGACCTCATTTTTGGTTGAGGTTTAATTTTTCCTCTTTAGTAGCCTAAGGTCTAGCCGTAGGACTTTCCTGTTGACTATTCCTAGAGGACTAGAAAAGGAACCCTCACCATTAGAAATTCCAAACCCTTCTTTTTTTAACTTGAAGTTCCACATATTGGTCCTGACCTCTAGCACTTTGTAGGTAGGGTCAATATGAAGGAGCTCAAGGGGAGTTCCCCATAGGATGGTCAGACCTTAGGAATAACCCTGGGTGAGCTGGTTTTGGTGGGGCTAACTTGCACACACTACACTTTTTCACTTACCCCAAACCCTAAAACCCCTTAGGTTGGTCCCTTGACTCCTTTTGGAGAGCTCATGTGGATGACCCTGTACCCTTAGTCTTTGGCTAAGAGGGTTAGAACCAGTATATTGAGCATCCAAAATGAGTCCTCATATAGTTTCTATTGGTTTAGTATGGCTTCATGGCTTGTTGGCCCATTTTGGCCCAAAATCACCAAATTACCAAAATACTCCTACAACTATTCTTTGCCAAAAAAAATCCC